AGCTTCAAACACAGCGGCCATGGGATCTTTAATCCAACCCAACAGTCAGCTAATCTCAACAAAGCTTGATGAAACAAATTACCTGATCTGGAAACAACAAGTCATCACTGCCATTCGAGGTTATGGAGTTGAGGGATACATCAATGGAGAAACTCATAAACCAGAGAAGATAACCACAGATCCACAGTCTAATGAAACTCAGGTAAACCCAGATTATCTTTATTGGGTTAGGCAAGACCAGCTTTTGGCTTCTTGGCTCATGTCTTCTCTTAGTGATGGAATCTTGGTGATGATGGTCAGTTTAAACTCTGCCCAAGAAATATGGGAAGCCATAGAAAACAACTTTGCAAGCCAATCTTCAGCTAGAATAATGCAATATAAACTCAAACTTCAAACCATGAAGAAGGTTGTCTTATCTATGAGGGATTATCTCAACAAGATCAAAAATCACTGTGATATCTTGGCTATTGCTGGTGAAAGGGTGTCAGAACAAAACCAGATACTCCATGTCTTAACTGGTCTGGGATCTGAGTATGACTCAGTGGTGGTAAATGTCACTTCAAGATTTCCTCCACACACCTTAGCTGAAGTTCATGCACTATTGCTAACCTATGAATCTAGGCTTGAAATGAATCAAGGTTAGGTTGTAAGCTCAGAGGGATCACAGCCCTATGCTAATGTAGTAACTCAAAACCCACGAAGGAGCTACAATCAGAATTACAGTCAGTTTAAGGGAAACAAAAACAGCTTTCAAGGTGGAAGAGGAAGAAGAGGCTCTTATAGAGGTAGAGGTCGTGGAAGGAATGGAGAAAATAGGCCACAATGCCAAATATGCCAAGGGATGAATCACACAGCAGACAAATGCTGGTACAGGTATGACACAACACCTGCAAACCCAAGTGGAAATCAAAACCAGCAACAGCCACAAAGAAGAAATCCCAGCTTGAATATGGGGCAAATCCATGGATCAAATACCTACTCTGATGTTGGCTCAGAAACAAGTTGGTTCCCTGACTCAGGGGCTTCAAACCATATAACAAATGAACTTGAGAATCTCAATATTGCAGCTGAGTACAATAGAAACAGCAAACTCTTAATGGGGAATGGAGAGGCAGCAACTATTTCACACTTTGGTAATTCCTTCATCCAGCATCCCAATCAGTCAAAAGTTTATGTTCTGAAAAATCTATTACATGTGCCTAAAATCAGTAGAAATCTACTGAGTGTTTCTCAGTTTGCAAAGGACAACAAAGTATTCTTCGAATTTCATCCAAGCTTTTGTTTTGTAAAGGACCAGGAAACACAAGGGGTCCTGCTCAAGGGAGTTCTTAAAGATGGACTATATCATTTCAACTTGCAGTGCTTGAAGAGAAAGTAGCCTCATCTTTTGTCTTCTCAGCCTATTCAAAAAGACCAGCAAGTACTTGGCTCACAGCCTTTTTCTTATTTTTCCAAAGTAGGTAAATGTAATAGCCTTGAATTATGGCATCAAAGACTTGGTCATGCAAATTATGAGAATGTTAAAAGAGCCTTAAGGTTGTGTAATTTGGATTATAAATCCAAGGATGATGACACTTTA